ATTTAGAAAAAAAAAAAAAAAAGATTTAAGGATCAAACATAAAACATGAGGTTGGAAATGTCATTACCCAGCAACATAACGTTTTTTTGGCTGCTAATATTGCACAGTGGTTCCTTAAATGTTGAGTTTGACAGATATAGCAGCTTCTCTTTGACCTTTATTTTTACGGGATAACTGTAGCAAAAAGACATTTCAGGTCATTAATGAACTTGTATTTTACAAAAAATCTCTTTCTGACTGATCTACGCTAAACCGCCACTCCTCAACATCTGCCATTCTGTTAATTAGGCTCCAAAGTGTCACACATCACTGCATTTAGCAGAACACACACAATGTGTACTGAAAATATGAGCCACACACAAGGGAACCTCATGGCCAAGGAAGTCACAAAGTCCTTTTACATAGCGAAAAAATAATAATAGTAAATTGTCTATGGTACTCTGTGTAATGAGCCACAGAAACTAAAAATATTATCTAACAAAAGATGAGATGTAAATATTTTAGATCTTTTAATAATATATTTATATATAAAAAAAAAACAGCCTTAAAGGTGGAGGCTATAAAGTAAAAACAAACATGACAAGACAGCTAATTAAAGACCTTGCTTTCCAGTTATCTCTCAATGTTGAGCTGATGTTCGATTGTGATTTACAAAACCAGTTTAAGTTTAATTGAGAAAGCAATTTCCATTCATCTATCCATGCATACATCCAAGCTAGTCTTTACTGCCAAATGTTTCTTAAATGTAAGGGCAGAATGGACTCCCTTAGGGTCGTCTTGCCCACAATTCCAGTCATGCAAGAACTACAATTGGTAATTAAAGAAACCCCAGGGAGAATGTTGTTTTTTCCCTGAGAAAATGGCTTTAAAAAGAAAAGAAGCTCAAGAAGTCCTTTTAAAGGATGAGTTTCAAACACAGACCCAATAGATGGCAATACTAAAGGATGCTCCCTGATAATCTGAGACAATACTATACATTTTTTCTTGCTTTATAAGATGAGAATGGATGCTGATACTAATAGGACTGTGCAGTAAAATAGAGAAATTTAGTTAGAACAGAATTATCGTATTTGCAAGATCTTGTGCCCCAGTTCAGACAGCTAACTTTGAGACAAAGGAAAGAAAAAGTTTTTCATCTCCCTGGCCATAGATGAGTAGGAAACTTCTGGGAGATTACCTAGAGAGAGGAATCCAACCAGGAGCAGCTTGAGGTGAGGTTGACAGTAATGCAATCAATCAAGAAGAGGAATCGAACAGAGGAGAAAGAGGACGAGAGCAGCTACAGCAAGACAGACAAGTGTTAATCAGTCGTAGGTGGCAGAAAGAGAAACGCTGCCACAAGGTTTCTGTCTCCTTGTTCAGCCAGAGTCAATAAACAAAAAAAAAAAAAGTCAGCTCTTTGAGATAGATCTGCAGTCCAGCTGAGAAAAGGTGAACAAATTTTGATGCAGAACACCTGCAGCTAAAAGAATAGAGGAAATACAGAGACATAGAGGGGGAGCTGGCAAGTAATAAATCTCCGACAGCTTGTGGGGTCAGGCTGTGGAGGAGAGTGTCAAAATAGTTTCTAAATGTGAAAAAGAATAGGAGGGTGCCTGACATTATCCCCTGCAACTAATTCATCAGCCTTATGCAAAGCTGCAAAGAAGCTGGTCAGTCAGGCTGCAGCAAACTACATTTAGCTAATTTGCATGCATTAATCACAATTAATGGTACATGTATGCATTTAGATGAGCGTCACTATACCTACATAAGAGAAGTTACAATACTAGACATAGTGAGGGAAAAAAACTAAGCATTCTGGACACAGTTTGAAAGAATAAAGCATAAATTACCAATGGTGTGAGCAGCGAGAACAGTTTCAATTGTCAAACCCACATATTTCCACACCAAACCGTGCAGTGACATACTTGCACAACTGCAGAGAAAGCTCTGCTACACAAGAAGCATCTCCTGAGTCCATCTCTGTATCGTTCTCTTTTCTACTTGTTGTTTCTTGTTTTCCTGAACTTGCTATGTTGTTGCCAAGAATGCACTGGTTGTTTTCTTGTCTCAGAGGACATCCTCTGGCAGTTGTACGAGTACATAGCTGTAAGAGGAGCTGTTTCTTTCACAAAATACACTGTGTTGCATCCCGCTTTAATTTCAATTCCTCCCCCCTTATGGCTGATATTTCACTTATTTCTTCCACCTTTCTTAATTTCCCTTCCACTCTGCATGTTTAATGGCTTACTATTCCCATCCTCATATTTATCCTCCTCACTCTATAACCCTACCATCTTGCCTCCCACAATAGTGATCAAAAAGTAGGTGCTGATGTTGCAGCTCGTGCCTGAACGAGCTCAGTTAAATAGTGGGTGGACAGACGAGCCAGAGAGCTGTTGTCAGAGCCAACAGCACCCAAGAGACCGGTCCCGCTATGCAAATACTGAGTCGCTGCTCTGAACTATGAGTAAAAAGGTTGAGACCATTTCTTAACAGCTGAAGCAAAGAGCAGAAAAAAAAGCAATAAAAAGGCACTATTTGCTTGCATTTTTAGTTGAAGGAAGCAGAAGCAGTCATTACTGACTAAGTACTACAGTTTTTTTAATCATTAATAGTGGACGGTATCATCCTGACAATGAACATCAACAGTGTTTGGAAGCATTTTAAGTTCCACAGAAGCTTAAAGCTATGGGCAGTGGTTAATGCAAACTGGTTTTACCTCCCCCGCGTCATCTCACCCTGTCACTTCACAAGGGTAAAGAGAGACGTTTCACGTCTAATTAATGCACAGGATGGTTGTATAAAACGGCTAATGAGGCTGTGATCACAGCGGCGTGAAGGCAGTCACTACCAGAGGGGAGGGGAGAGGATGAGTGCTACTCCACTTGCAAGCGATCCACTGTTTCACAGTTATTAGCCTGTCATAGAAAGAGGGCTTCTGGAGACACTGGAGGTGGTGACATGAATACTTGTTCAGCTACTTCCAATTGCTTCTGTCAGTAAGATGGCCTCCTCTGCATCCCTATTTATTTTTTGTGGTTTGGATGTTTCCTTTTTTATTTTATGGACCCTCAATCTTCTCTAAGGTTTTATCCACATGAAGTGGAAACAAGTTTAGCAAAAAACTTAGGTGCAAAGACGAAATCGCTTAAAGCCAACAAAGCTGTAATAGGCATTGTAATACCTATGCAACATCAATGGGTGGTGCACTAGTGCTGCCTCACAGATAAAGAAGCTAAAAAAGTGGAATGAAAAAGTGAGATGTATATACTGATGCAGAAGAGAGAGCAAAAGGTGTTTGCGTGGACCAAAATCAAATGAGCATCAAGTAGTGGGTGTATAATCCATAATAAATAGAAAGCTTTTTAAGCATAGATTCTTCAAATTCTAAAACTAAAACTCGAACTGAAGCACAAAAATCCACCTATGTTGTTTATGTTATTGCACGTCTGTAGAGGGAGGTCAGGGCCGTTAGGTGTATCGGGTAGCCTGACGGAATTGCGGCTTCAAACTTAGCCATCTTTGTTTTAATGTTTTCAAATGTTGTCGATTTTGCAGCCCCTTTGTCATGATGGGCCACCTAACTGACAAACTGTAAAAACTTAAATGCAGAGTACCATAGACAGAACCTAAGTTTACCTCAAATTTAAGGGGAACAAAAAAAAATTATAAACAAAAATCCCAAACCATCTGTAGAATGGCCACAGTGTAAATAATGTTAAATGATTAAAAATGTGGCTGTGGAGAATCTAAGCTAACCAGAGACATGTAAATTAATGTTCTTTTTCTTCAGTGGATATTCTGCCTTCGAGCCCACAGGTAACTAGTTTGGACTGCAGACTCCTTAAGGTACATAAAAAACAAGAATTGATCAATTCATTATTTACACAAATCTGGTAAAGCTCACCATAAACACAGATATACCGACCATAGGCTGTGAACAGGTGGACTTTGTGAGGCTTTGTGGTGGGGTTTGAGAATATGCATCTTATATAGAATGTTAACATGACAAGAGAGAATTTCAAATAAGCAGAAATATGTATAAGACCATAAAGGGGAAAGGAAGTGGTGGAGGAGCATTAATACCTCAGTGTTCATCTGGACAAAAGGTTACACTGAAGACAGAGCAGTGAAGCTGAAGGGACACGGCAGACTGTACTGCTTCTCGAGTAAAAATCAGAGTCTGTGACTTAAAAAAACTGGACAAGCTGATAGGCAGCCTCTGCTCTGAGAATTGGAAGTCTTAAAAGCATTTTTCAAATAAGGATGCTTTATAAAATGAAAACCAAAATGGATACCCCTGACCCTCCTCGGTACAATAAAGGATTTCAATGAAAGCCTTCTCCAGATTGGTTGCAAAGTAAGAAGCTGCATGAGATTCTCCCTGCCCACAGGCACAGCCATCTGCCAGGAGTTCTTGAAGAAACTTGAATCACAAACTCAAATAATTTGAAGTCTTATTGAATTGAATTTAACAGAATAGGTTGGTTTTCCAAACCTTTAAGATCTGCATGAATATATACTTGATTGTATAAACTGGGATGCAGAACATTAACATTAGGTGCTTTCTAAGAAACCAAGAACAAAATCAATTTGGATCCTTAAAGAGAGGCAAAAATATATATCTTTTTAAAAAAACAAAATATTTTCATTGACCCTGAAATTTGACTTACAAAGAAATGGATACAAACATTTAAACAGCAGGTGAGACTATTACATAAAAAGTTGCTCTCTCAGCATAGCTCATCTGGCAGGATGAATGGGCTGCACACGAGCTGCTCTCTAAGCAACTACTCATTACTCAAACACATTCTGCTGTTGGGTAAGTGCCAGTGCTCCATTTTTCTACATCAATTTCATTTTCTGCACTAATCCATCTTCTCTACCTTTACCTACATCTTGGACCTGATGTACTTCCACCAAGCCTCCGGAGTAGTGTTGCTCTCTGCATACATAAAGAATTACATAAACCTACATTGCGATTCAGTGCCACAGTCTGCCATGCCAGTACTCACCTGTGCAATTTCATACAGCAGCTTGTAGTGTTCCTCTCTCTTCTGTAAAGTGCACAGATTGCAGCCCATTATAGTCGTCGTGGAAACGCCAGGCGCCTAAATCTCCCCGAGTAGTGGTGGCACAGACACAGGGGGGTCACCATCCACGTTGGAGCGCTGGTTCTCATCAGTCACTCCTCAGCAAGCATCTCTTCGTGCCATCCCATTCACAGAATCGTGCACTCAGAGCCAACGGCTGCTCAGAGCGGCAGAAAGCTCCAGCTGAGTCTAACAGGAGAGGGGTTCAGATGTGGCAAGCCTCACAGCAGCCTCAGCGGACGGCACAAGTAGAAACAGGCGCCTGCTCTCTCTCTGTTTTACCCTCACACTCAGACGATCACACACAAGAGTTGTGACTCCCATTCACTGAGACACTCCCCCCTCTTTACCCCTCTCAGTCTCAGCACACATGACCACACCGATACCAACTTATGAATATTGAAGAAGATGCCTGTAATATTTATGAGAAAGGTGGGCAGAGAGGAGGGATCTCACAGAGAGGGAGGCGTGTGCTGGAGTGCTGCTTCATAAATATCGAGGCACAGTGTCACAATGCTCCTTTGTGTGAGTAGGTCCGGTGAGAAGCACAGATACTACTGACAGCCTTGAGACAGCACACTGTGAGCACAACGGATTGTTCTTAAGTTTGTAAAACATCTTATTCTACCAGCTTCACCTGTTAGCTTTCTGAGCATGTTAAATTCTCGGCTTGTCTTATTATTTAACTAAAACATTTTTAGAAAAAGACTGCCACACATTACTGATCCGTACCGATTTTTCACTTCTTTATCCGTATTAGTTATATTCATGATTGTAGCTCAAAATGGTTTTATTCTTGTACGTCCAATTATATAAAAAATCAAAGCATAAAGGAAAGAAATTGAACTGAAATCAGTTGAGCATGTTGCCAAAAAGTTATATAGTATTAATAACTTTACATCTAATCAAGAGGATCGATACAGCATTAACAATGTGTTCAACTAAAAGTCAAGTTTATATGGTAATGATTTATGAGGTAATATGTAAAGTGTCACTGATGTCTGGGAGCGGGCAGGTCAAATAGAGACTAGAGCAGGTGACACAGACTAACGGTGATGAGAAACTGGGTGGAGCTAGACAGGTGAATGGAATGAACAACCAAGCCAGTCATCAGTGCCAAGATCATGACAAGAAGACTTTTTATTGGTGAATCCTACAGCATTTATAAAACATAGCAGAAATCAATGGACAAAGTTTTAACGTCTACATTTTGTAAATGTTTTGGTAGTCACTATTTTTACTCATGAATATGTAACTGCCCTTTAATATTGTGGCGGAAAAAATGAAATCCCAAACACACTATCATTCAGGCTATGTTAAATCTGAAAGCCTATGTAATGCTGGGGCAACATTAAAATGCAAAATGTTAAAAATACAAACATGAACTATGCCACTTGCTTTGCCTTGACTAACCGAATCATGTAAAACCATACAAAATTTGAAGAAAGCAATTTATTTGATTTTAGAACGACATTTCAGATCACCAAACATTTTGTACTTTTAAACATAATGTCTGCATAAAAATCAAAATACAAAGATCAAATTTCTTATGTGTGAAATTTTATTTTAAGGAATAAATTGAAGTTGCCATGACAGTTTAGAACAGCTTCGCCGAAACTATGCGTTTGGTTGGTTCTCTCTGTTGTATGAACTGTATAGATGATAGCTTTTTGAACATACAGTATTGTCTTGTGCAACTATTTAAAATAAGTTGCCCTTAAATCGTATCTTGTGTCTAAATAATATATATTTGTTTATATAGAGAATAAATATAAAATGATGCTATGGTTAAAAAAAAAAACACCTAGTACAGTAAAGTGGAACACATCAGTCTGGGTCTGAAGTCTTTCCACTGGCTCCCTGTAGCAGAGAAAATAGACTTTAAAATCCTTCTGTTAGTCTATAAATCACTGAATGGATCAACACCTCAATACAAAACAGATTTGTTGTCAGTGTATCAACCTCCCAGACCACTCAGGTCTTCTAGTTCAAGCCTACAGTACTCTTACTATTGAGAATAAGGTGCTTTTTAATACACATATGCTGTTTAAGTCAGTCCTGAATAGTAATGTTACAGCTTTTATACATTCACAAATTGTTTTTAGTAATTCTGTTCATAATCACAACACTATAGGTTCCAGTAATGGGCAGCTTGTTTTACCATGTTAAAAAACCAATGCTCTAAAGAGATTTTTTATATATAGATATAGAAACTTTGGACTTTCTCTGCCTGACCGAAACATGGCAGAATCCTCATGAATTTATCACACTTAATCAAGCTACTCCCTCTGGATATTCTTACATCCAAAAGCCTCGCAGCTGTGGCCGTGGCGGCGGCTTGGCTGTTATACATCGCACTGACATCCAGTTAAAAGAAATCCCAGTCACAACATCATCATTTAAGTGCCTTCACTTCATGCTGTCTGGTGCCACACAGCTCCAGGTGGTTCTTGTCTACCGCCCCCCGAAAGCCTCCTCATGCTTTCTACAGGAATTCTCGGACCTGCTGGCTTCGGTCTGCCCCATGTCCCCAGCTACTCTCATACTGGGTGACTTTAACATCCATGTAGACTCCAGCAGCTGTTCCTTCGCTGTGGATTTTCTCTCATTGTTGGACTGTTTTGACATTAAACAACATGTACAGGGCCCTACACATGCCAAGGGGCACACCCTGGACCTGGTGTGCTGTGTTGGCTTAAGCCCCTTCAATCTCTGCTGCACGGACCTGGCTGTTTCTGATCACCAAGCCATTCTGTTCTCTGTCCCACTGTCCCTCCCTAAGCAGCCTAAAAAAAAGGTTGATCACATACAGGAACATAAAGCGTGTGTGCATACCTACACTGGCTAACATCCTAGCTGCCAACCTCGCCATCCACCCCTCTAACCGCACTGTTGACGGCTTGGTGGAACACTATAACAGCGCCCTCGCCCTCAGCCTGGACTCTGTTGCTCCACTCATCACCAAACTGGTCTCCTACACCCGCCCCGCTCCCTGGTTTACCCCAGAGCTGCGGAGGCTTAAGTCCATGGGGCGTCGGCTTGAGAGGCTTTACAAAAGATCCGGCCTGACTGTCCACCTCGAAGCCTACAGAGACCACGTCAAGTGCTACAAAGAGGCTCTCACCCAGGCAAAAACACTCCACTACTCGACACTTATAAATAGCCAACAAAAGCATCCCAAATTGCTTTTTTCCACCATCAATCGTCTTCTTGACCCCCCCGATGCGCCGCAACCTTCTGATGCCGCTGATCTCTGCTCCAGATTCCTGGACTTTTTCCAACAGAAAGTGGCCACCATCCACCAGCAGCTCCAGGCATCTACACCTCCCCCGCCGGCCACACTATCTCGGCAGGACATGTACTATCCCTCTGCCTGCCCACCACAGCACTGCCTCCCTACCTTCTCTCTGTTGGATGCTGATCAAGTCCTCGCCCTTCTGACCAAAGCTGGGACCTCATCCTGCAGCCTGGATCCACTACCCAAGACCCTTGTGAAGGCCTGTCTCCCCACCATCTGCCCCCTGGTGGCTGACATCATCAACGCCTCACTTGGCTCTGGTGTGGTACCCTCCAGCTTCAAGCTGGCGGGCGTGACTCCAACACTTAAAAAGCCAGGCCTGGACCCAGATGACCCCAACAACTACCGTCCGATCTCTAACCTTCCGTTCCTGAGCAAGATCTTGGAAAGAGCAGTGGCTGCTCAGCTACAACATCACATGTCCCACCATGAGCTCTTTGAACCTTTCCAATCGGGCTTTAGACCCCATCACAGCACCGAAACCGCCCTCATTAAAATAACAAACGACCTCCTGATTGCTGCAGATGACGGCCTTGTCTCCGTCCTCATCATCCTTGACCTATCTGCTGCCTTTGACACTATTTCCCACTCGATCCTCCTCTCCCGTCTCTCAGACCTCATCGGCCTCACCGACATCACTCTCTCTTGGTTTCAGTCTTACCTCTCCAACCGTAAACAATATATCACTCTGCAAGGCTCCAACTCATCAACTGCAACAGTTAACCATGGCGTTCCTCAGGGATCTGTCCTTAGTCCCCTGCTGTTTACCATCTACTTGCTCCCCCTCGGTCAGATCATCCGCAACCACGGACTCAGTTTCCACTGTTACGCAGACGACACCCAACTGTATGTCAGCACTACGCCCTCCCCAGAACTCCCACAAATACAACTTAACAACTGTCTCCTTGATATCAAAACCTGGATGACCAACAACCTTCTGAAACTCAACACCCACAAAACCGAGCTCATGGTGGTGGCCCCAGCACCGCTGCTCAGGAAGGTTGGAGACCTCACCTTGGTCATTGATGGCTGTCCCACCTCCCCATCGCCCAAAGTGCAGAACCTGGGTGTCATCTTGGACTCCACACTCTCACTCAGTTTCCACATCCAGAGCATCACTAAATCTGCCTTCTTTCATCTCCGTAACATCTCAAGACTCCGGCCGTCACTTACCGACTCAGTCACCGAAACTCTCATTCATTCATTTGTCACCTCCAGTCTGGACTACTGCAATGGTGTCCTGTCTGGGCTGCCCAACAAAGCCCTAGACAGATTGCAGTACGTCCAGAACTCAGCTGCCAGGGTGTTAACCCACACCAAGCCCTGGCAGCACATCACCCCCATCCTTAAGAAACTCCATTGGCTGCCAATCAAACAACGCATCAGCTACAAAATCCTCCTCCTCACTTACAAAGCACTTCATTCTCTGGCACCCAAGTACATCACTGACCTTCTTCACCCACTCACTCAGTCATGGTCCCTGCGCTCCAACAGCAAGAACTTACTTTCCATCCCCCGTACCAGACTCAAGACCTTTGGCGACAGGGCTTTCTGTGCAGTGGCCCCGGCTCTTTGGAATGCCCTCCCCCCTCCTATCCGTTCCGCAACTTCCCTGACACAGTTCCAAAAGAACCTTAAAACACACCTTTTCTCTCTTGCCTACCCTTCCTAACCCCCTCCCTGTCCCTACCCCCCCTTACTTCACCTCTTGTAAAGCGACCTTGGGTGTCCTGAAAGGCGCTATATAAATCAAAGATATTATTATTATTATTATTATAGATCATTGTGTCTTTCAACAGAGTTTGGAAGCATTATTGACACATTTCATTGTGTCATAATCTATCTCAATATATCTACTGCACTCATAGCAAATTATCTTTTAAAAAATATTCTGAGACTCCATTTGATGCCCTGAAGTGTTTTTGTTTTATTGGATGTTTTCATTTATTGTCTATTTATGGGGCGACAGTGGCGTTGGATGTAGGAGTTTGCCCTGAAATCGAAGGGTTGACGGTTCAAGCCCCGACTCCGACTTTCAGTGTCGTTGTGTCCTTGGGCAAGACACGTCACCTGCATT